TTGACGATAAACTATAGATTTCTTTATTATTTTAAGTTCTGTAAAAATAATAATTTTTAAAGATCTGCAAAAGCTACTGACATAATTACAAGTTCCAACTTTCTCTTGAGGCTTCTGGGATATTTGGTTGAAAAAAAACCTACCAAATCCTGGTGAAACTTTAAAAATGCTTAAAAGATTCTAAAATTTAACACTTTAAAAATTCGTACCTCAAAAAGTATTTGGAGTAGAGCCGTGGGAGTCTGTAAGATTCTGTGGTTCAGGCAGAAGTTTTTGCCAGATTTTTTTTCCAAACAAAATCTATGACATGAGCTGAGAACAGTTCTGAGATCTGGTCGGACTGGAATGATTCCATGAGAACTGAAGCTCATTAGTTTGACTCTGAAACAGCCGTCGTGGCCACGTTTACTGGTTTAAAGTGATGAAGCGTCCGACAGCGAGCCGTGTCGCAATGTTTTGCAGGAGAGCTTCGGGTGGAGGTGGACGGAGCGTCGTCGCACCATCACCCCGTCTCGGCAGACAGCAGCTCGTCGTCGGGCTACTCCAGCTCGTCCTGCTCCCCTCGAACGCCTCACTGCTGCGACGCCTTCGACAGAACCAGAGAGCTGCACAGACGTGAGTTTCAGTGATTGTGTTATTTTATCTTATGGTTCAGTTGTCCATCAATTTATTAATGTTTGAAATATAGAAAATAAACTTCTATTCATGTAAACTGAAGCACAATCGTGAACTTGTTAAAACTCACATGTGTTATTACTGAAGCTGCATTTAATTAATGTTTTAAAATGGTTTAAATTCTCCTCTTCAAAAAGCCATTTCATGTTGTACAAGAGGTCTAAATTCTAAATTAATGCGATTTATAATTTATAAAATGTAATTGAAGTTGTTGAAGTTCTCTTAAGTTATTTTGCAATTAACTATTCAAAGTCAAATTTCTAAAAATGCATGCGGACGTTATGAAATTCAGACACTAAAACTAAAACTTCAAACTTTCTGTTTGTTTTATTGAAAGTTTGAAACAGCAGATAAGATATTTTTTAGCTATTTGTTAGTAAAATATGTCTGTCAGTGGTGTCATTTCAGTTTCAGTAGTTATTCATTTACAAACAGTTTCCTAAACATCTGCAGATCCAATCATTCCTTTTGTTTTTACAGTCGCAACTGGTTTATTTTTGGTATTTTTTTTTCATGGAGACATGTAGAATTAAGCTGTTTTTAGGTTAGATTTGTTCATTTTCTCCCAATAAAAGCAAAAGTTTGCACATGAGTAGTTCAGGGACTGTAGGAATGTTGAAAATTCAACGCTTCCTTCTGTTTTTTGAGTTGCAATTGGTTTAATTTTAGATTTTTTTTTTCATTGGTTCTGATAAATGCTGTCATTTTTTGCACTTTTTTTGACAGATAACATGACTTTTAACCTGCCAGTGGGTTCTGGGCTTCAGAGGACTGAATTAACACACATTCAGTTCATCTTTTAACACCCGGTTCTGTGTTCAGGTGTGTCGGGTCCAGACGCAGCAGCTGCAGCAGCTCCAGAGAAGGACCGGTCCTGCCTCTTCATCCTGAACTCCAGCTGCTCCAGTCGGCCCACTGCCCAGGTCCTTCCCGTCCAGACCGACCCGGCTCCTCCCCTGCCTCCCTCCTGCTCCTCCCACCTCCCCTTCGGCCTCCCCCAGCCGCCCTACCAGCCCACCTACCCCCAGACGCTGCTCTCCCCTGCATCCAACCCGGCCCGCATCCTGGCCTCACCGCGCAAGCCCCGCCCCCCTCCGCTGTGCACAGAGGACCGGACTAAGCCGCTGGGTTCGGGCCTCCCGGCGGCCGGGCCGGGCTTCGGGGTGGGGGTGAGGCTGGAGGGCGTGTTCCCTGGGGTTCTGGACGGATCGCCGGGGCACCAGGACTCATGTCGCGGGGCAGCAGGTCTGATGGTGGAGACCAGCTCGGCGCTGACCTCCACCTCCAACAGCCTCCACCACGTCTCCCACCCGCCGCTGCACTTCCACCTGTCCTCCTCCTCCTCCCCCTCTCCATCCGGGTACTACTCCTACCCTCCTCCCACCTCCTCCTCCTCCTGCACCTCCTCAAAGTCCCATGTCTCCATGGCAACAGCCAGCAGCGTTCCCGTGGCGGCGGTCCCCGGCAACACCTACTACCCTCCTCAGCCCACCTCCAGCCCGTCGCCGTCGCCCTCCTCCGCCTCCTCGCTGGATCAGAGCTCGGGTCACGGCCCGTCCATGTGCGTGTGCAGCTCCTGCGGTTGCCGTGGGAACTGTGGCGCCTATGGGACGTTGCCGGGATACGCGGCGGCCGGCTACCTGCAGCCGTTCTCGGCCGGGCCCTCCCTCTTCACCCTGGGGCCCCTGCTGCACCTCAGCCCCCTCATCGCCTCGTCCAGCGCCGCCGCCGCCACCGGAGCGGCGCCCTTCTCCTATCCCATGATGGTGCCGCCGCCGCTCTACCGCCACAGCCCCGTGTCACATGACCAGCAGCAGGGCTTCGGCTTCTACCAGCCACACGGCATCATGGGAGGCCAGAAGCGGGCGGCCGGGAACCTGTCGTGTTATAACTGCGGCGCCAACGGACACCGAGCGGAGGACTGCAAGCAGCCGCCGATGGACTCCACACAGCAGGGTGAGCTAACGGGGGTCACATCAATCATACGCTCATCAGTTAGATTCATGGACGTCTACAACAACACCTACAGTCACCTAATGATAGTTGTGTTTGCCTACTCTGTCTTTAAATCACATTTTCAAATAAAGTCACACAACAAATCGTTTTAACTTTTCTTACCTTCGTTTAGATTACAGCTAATTTTCTCTTTCATTTAAAGGCTAAATTAAACCGGTCAGAATCTGCTCATTAACTTTGCTTTCTTAGCAGCAAACTGCTCAAAAAGTAAAAGTTAAAATGTTAAAATTAAAGCTGTAACTTTTTTAACACGAGGCAAACTTAAGATGGAACATTTTCTTTTATTTATTTCTTTAATTTCATAATACCGTTTTTTTTATTCACTTTTTATTTAATAGCACCTTTTTTATTTCTTAATGCAGCTTTATATTTCACAGTTTCATTTTTTTATTAATGTTATTTTTTATTTAATAAAATCACATTTCGTAATGTATAATTCAGTTTTTACCTCCCAATGTTCCTTTTTCATTTAATCGTTTCCTTTTTTTTCGTGCAACTATTTGTTTCATTGTGTCATTTTTTGTAAGTTTAATAAACGTTATTTTTAATTTCAGGACATCATTTTATATTTTTTATTGCCCCATTCTCATTTCAGAATGTCATGTTTTTATTCATGATGCAATTTTTACCTCATAGTGTCACTTTTTTATTGAATAATTCCATTTTTATTTGCATTTTACTCATTTATATTATTAAAACATTATTCAATAATTTTGTTTAATAATGCCACTTTTTTAATCTCATGACACCATTTTTCTCGTCCTTTTGAATAAAACATGATATTAAAATGCCATTATGTAATAAAATAATAATTATTAATATGTCTTAATGATTTTTCTTCAGTTACTTCATAAATAGTTGGTTCATTTATATAATTAACATGTTTAATCCATTTTATTTTATTTCATATTGAGGTGTTTTATTTATTACTCTCTATAGTTCTTCAGGATAACGTTTATAGCAGCGTTTATAACGATAATGTTTTTTCTGCTGTTTCTCAGGAACCTTCCGGCTGAAGTTCACTCCTCACTCTGACAGTAAAGACTCAGGGGATTAACCAGCGGTGGATCTGATCTGTCGAACTCCCGACACAACTGTACCTCACGAAGACGAGCTGCTTCAGAGACCGCAGATTTGAAAGCACAGACGCCTTCCTGCTTCTTTTAGTGCAGCAGAAACACAGAGCTCAGAGGAGGAAGCAGAAGAAACGGTGCGTTTCTGCAGATTTGCCCTCAGATCTCCTCAGATTCTAAAGAGAGCTGAACGTTTGGAAACTGGACCTACGGCGTTGTTTGACCGGAGAGGCTCGACAGCAGCTCACCTGCCAAACTATGGAGCTTTTAAAGTCTTCTGGATGCTTCAAACCAAAGGCGCAGCACTCCTCTGTCCAAAGAACTTCTCAGTCAAGTGTGTTTTTCGCTTGTTCCAGTCGAATCGTGGCACTTATTGTGGGCGCTTTAGTTACAGCACACATACTCAGTTTGTGGTTTGGTTCGGTGTTATCTCTGCTTGGTCTGGATTTACTGGTGAACAGAGTTTCAAAGCACTTCTCTTCTGGTCAGGTTCTGGCTCGCTGTGTTTTTTACAGTTGGTTTGTCCACAAAAAGACTTTTATCTCTGGTTTTTAAAAGAGATTCTGATGCAAGGGCTGCCCCACGTAGACCCGAACTGACAGTTTCAAATTCAATGATTATAAAGAAATACTCTTTAGAGGTTAAAGAAGCAGCAGGAAAGTCCACAATACCAATTTTATGGTAAATATATCCACAGAAGTTTTAAAATGGTTCTGTTAGCTCCCATAATTAGCATGTCCAGGTGATTCAAAAGCAACCTGAACATAAATACTTGTTAAATTTGCTGCGGTCACGCCGGACGTTCATCAACAACATATAAACGTGGAGTGAATTTATTCAGTTCCATTCATGCAAACGTCTCATTTGTTTTATCTCATATGCACCTTTTTTGTGTACAGGTGAACAAAAAGCACCTTTTTTTTTGCACAAAGCTGCAAAGTTGCACTTCTCAGCTACAGTTAAACAGAAAAGGCCTTGGCAGCCAAATAAATCAAGAAATACAGATTCAGTCTGTGAATAAACACGCGCTTTGTGGATAAAGCGTTTTAATTGGTGCACAGACTGCATAAACTGGAACTGGAGATCATAGATTAAAGACAGCCCAGCTCCAACAGTGCCTGGGGATGAATCAAGACTGTATACGAAGGATGGGCAACGTTTTGTGCCCATATACATAAATAAAGGGTGGATGTAGCGTCTGAAGTGCCTTAAACCTGCTTTCTTTCTAACAGCCAGCAGGGGGCGATTCCTGTGGTTGCAAAAAGATAGAAGTCTATGAGAAACTGACCCGACTTCTCACTTGATTTCTTATCTTAGTAAACATTTTCCTAATAAGTTTATGGTCTCATTTGCTCGTTTCAAGTCTTGTTTGATATAGAATGATGTTAATTTTGTACATTTTGGTCGTATTTACAGTAAAATAGACTTTAAAGAGGAGTATGTTTAACGGGTGGAGCTACCTTAACAAGTCAATATCATATCATGTTCTCAAGCTCTCCAGTTTTTGCTCGATACCTCCAAAAGATGGCGACGGCCGAATTCAAACTTCACAACAGGAGTCACTGCAGTGGCTGCATCCATCTTTTATAAACAGTTCATTAATGAGAGCTGTTCATGCTGGAAACATAATTTGCACTCAGAGTCTGTGCAGCAACGTGGTGAAGAGGTGGCTGGTTATTAATGGACTGGACATGAGTGCATTTGAAAAAAATCCCAAATATGGTTCCTGCCATATTAAATACTTACTAATTTGTATTTCTGATAAGTTCTTGATTAGTTATTTAGTTCTTTTAAAAGGCTGTATGCCAACATAGCTGACAGCTGCAGGCTTTAGAAGCGGATAGCACACGTGATGCTGTTCATACTATAATAGATCCGCATTGATCTGCATATATGGTCGCCCCTCATATCACACACAGAAAACCACACGGCACAGTTTTTAAAAGGTCCAGCAGCTGCTCACAGATTGGCCTGTATCGCTGAGGTGTGTTCAGCAGCTCAGGATATCTGGAGATCTTGGAACCTCTCACTGTGTTTGGGCTCCAGAACTCAGAGCTCCTCCAAAGTCCTGCAGCAGCTTCTTCAGCGTCACCTCTTTTAACACTTGTTCGTAAAAGTGTGGATGATGGAGAATCTCCTCGTACGGCCTCTTCTCTAAACAAGCATCTGTTTTAAGCATCCTGTTTTTCTTGACAGTGCAGTCAGTTCACCCAGATGTTGTGCTACACGTGGACCCTAACAAAATTAGAAACGACTAAATGACTAAATTAGGGGTTCTGTAGTAAACTAGCTGATATTCTGAGGGACCTGTGGTTTCTTTGCAGTGTTTTCAGTGAGTTACACTTCAGGCAGTAAGTTAATGTCATCAGGGCTGCAACTAATAGATTATTTTATTTGTTGATTAAGCTGCCGACTGTTTTCTCGATTAACGGAACAGTTGTTTGGTCTATAAAATGAGAGAAAATGCTAGAAAATGGTGAAAATGTCAATCAGTGTTGCCCAAAGTCCCAGATGACAACTGTCTTGTTTGGTCCAAATTTTAACTTTTTGCTTAAAAACCTACTATCATTGGTGTTATAAACGCTATAGCTTTGCAACCTGAGCCCACAACTAATCTATGGGAGGAAACAGATAGGTGATAAGTATCTTGAAAATGATAAACAACATGACATCCATGAAGATTCGCGGTGGCTGGATTACGTCAAGTTCAAGTAGTGAACTCGTTACTACGTCTCACAATCAGAAAGGATTTATCTCCACCTGCTGGTCACCACTGCACACACTCTGGATGTCACAGCACAAGGCAGCAGCAAGACTTTCCACTGTATTTTGGCTTCACTGTTATACAGCATGAGGAAGTGTGGATTCATCTTTATATACAGTCTTTGGTTTGAACCCGTCACCTCCGTGTGATCTGCAGCTTTTCTACCTCTGAGCCAACCTTCTGTCGCCAAACAGTGTTCCTCTACATCAGGACAAGACAATCAGTTAGCCTGAATTACTTCAACACAGTTGAGCGTCTGCAGTTTACATCAGGGGGGGATAAACGTTTTAAAGTGCCAATTATCTTCTTGTTCTCTCTGGTCTTTGATTTTCATGTTAGTGGGAGCTGTTCTCACTCCAGCAGCGACGGAGCTGCCTATTTTTGTAATTCATGTGTCTTTATGCGCACATGAGCTGAGTTTAAAGAGTTAGAAAACAGAAAGAGGAAGTGTTTCTGAGTGTGGTGGAGTCTCTGGCGGTGGGCGAGTTGCTGGGCAGGACCCGGAGCTGGACAGACACGAGGACAGCCGGTCCTTCAGATGAAACTCTATCTGCGCCCCTGGAGGGTGCAGCGCTGGGGCAGGGGGCATTTATTTAAAATGGAAAATACTGAACCTTAAGTGTAACAACTTCTGTCTGTTGTTAGAAATAAGCCAGCAATGTGCTTTTGTATTGTAATAAGGAACGTCTTTGGGGTTTTGTGTTTGGGGCTCGGAATCAAGCAGCCGGTTATTCAGCTGACTGTTAATTTAATATTTCAGCAGTGCAACTGTCTCAATCGACACGGTTGTAAAACAAAAAGAAAAACACTTTATTTCAATAGCTGCCTTGGATTTTCATTGTTTTTTTTTATAGCTGATACCAAAGAACAGCTTCTTTGTTTGGACACATGGTTCCACTTTTGTAGGTTTTATGTAGTTTTTGTGACTCTTTGAGCCTCGCCGTAGAGCCTGATAATCTGACGCTTGATGCATGTTGCTTCATCTTTGGTTAAGTGTGCTTTTCAAATATTTGTGTGCAAATGTTTGAACACAGTTTATAATTACCCAGTTCGTTTGTAATAGGTTGGATTTTATATTTCTTATTGTGTTTTAAGACTTGACAGTTCTATTTGACATTTGAGGGGAAAAAAAAAAAGTTTAAGTAATAAAATACTTTCTGGTTCTGCCATTCATCACTTTGTCCACATTGCTTATTTGTTTAGTTAAAGGGTGATATAGACCAAGGAGCCTTCATATTATGTAAATCAATTTAGGCAAAATGAAGACATTAATTGTCCTTTAAAGGTCCAGTATATATTCTTTATAAGGTCTTAAAATGCAGCTTCTAAGGTTTTTTTTATTATACTTTTTTTTTTCAAACACATAATTAATAAGATATGATTTCAAAAATACAGGATTTTATGTGCAGGAAAAAAGTACATTTGTATATGAATATTTGCGCCATTTAGTTTGATATTAAATAAATACATATGAAATATTTAAATGTGACTATAAAATCAATTCTTTAAATAAATGCAATTGTTTAAAATGCACATAGGATCTAAAATAAACTCCTTACATTAATTTACATATTATTTCATAGGATGATTTATTTAGTTAGTCGGTTATTTATGTATTTACTTTTTTATTTATTCAGTATCAAAAAATACACAAATAAAGATGAAATAAATATATTGTTTTAAAAACAAAAATAAAAGTATAATAATAAAGTACATAAGTATAGTAAGAATAAACAGAGGTAGTCCTTTGAAAAATGTCTTTTTAAAATAAAAAACTTTTCAATTATTGTATTTATTTATATAATTATTGATTTATGTATTTATTTCATAGAAATATTTATGTATTTATTTGATTTAATTTAGGATAAAACTGTATTCCATTAACAACAAAAACAAACAAACAAATTCAGATTTATAAATTTACGTGTTCAAGTTAAGTTCACGCTCGGTTTCTGTATTTCCGTCAATAAGTGCGTCAGCCAATCACATCACTGCTCTTACAGCCAATCAGCGAGCAGAACTTTATTAACCTCTGACCTCAACATAAACAACCACTGGCGGAGCTAACTGATGCTAGCGGGGCGTCCTGTCCACAACTGAAAACATGTGAGTACATTTTTGACGAATTAAACATCTTTATGTGCTCTGGAAATAAGGTTTAATCAGTTTCTAGTCAATTATCTGTCATTTTCGCGGCTAAAATCCACCCAGCTAAGCAGCTACATTAGCTTGTTAGCATTAGCGAGTTAGCCTACAGCTGAACTTAATGGTTGAATAAGCTAGCCCAGTTCAGTATGGTGACTCTGGGTCATTGCGGGTTATAGGGGATCGATCGGGTGGCGGAACTACTTACATAGAAGATGAATGTTTAAATTTGTCATAAGAATCAGCCAGAGCAAGAGCTGTATATGTGTAATATGTAAATCTATACATAGTCTGATGCAATATGTGTCATGATTCTAGTGGGAATGATAATTTTGGCATTTCTTTTCCACTGAAACTGATTTAAATGTGATCTGCACCAAACAAGCATGTTCCCATATGTTTGAAGAATATGATATGTAGCTTTGGGAATCTCTGCAGCACCATATAATGGTTTAGAGTTTATAATGGTTCGTTTTGACACATTTAACTTTATCAAAATAAACTGCAGCTACTGTAATTTGGATAATGGACTTGGCCATTTTGCGATTGTAATAGTATTTAGATGGTGTAAATTATTGTTCAGCCAGATTTGGAGCAGCAGAGGGACACAGACAGGTGAGCCGCAGGCCCTCAGAAGAGTTCTGGTATCGTAGTGAAATGTGTTGGCACAAGTCCAGTAACTCAGTCAGTAATTTAGGTTTTAACAGGTTTAAAAATAGGATTAGTTTGAGTGGAGCTGTGAAACTCCAGAGTTGTGTTGGCCAAATGAAGTAATAGGGTTTTCCATTGTTTCCATGTGTTTGGTAGGTTAAAAACAGAAGTAGTGATAGACTTGGCTGGCAATATGCAGTTGAAACCAGAAGTTTACATAGATTGTGTAAAAAGACTTCTTTTTTTTTTGTCACTGTCTATCAATAAATCAGACTAAACTTTTCCTGTTGTAGGTCAGTGTAAACCTTAGGCTTTGAAGAACGTAAAAAAAAAAAAATCTCTACAAAATTCTCTCATTATTCTGGTGTTTAGCAAATATAATGTTGGTAATCCTAACTGACCTGAAACAGGAAACGTTTACTATGATTTAATGTTAGATAGTGAGAAAAAGAGGTTTTATGTCTTTTCATACAGTGGATGTAAACTTCTGGTTTCAACTGTACACAACACAATGCACAGAAAAAAATCAATAGTTAATCAAATCTTATTTTATGGTGATTAAATCTCAGCAAAACTAACGTTCTCACTCAGTTATTAGACTTATTTCAAAGTAGCTTGTAAATAATGCCACTTCTAAGGAATCACTCCTTTATTTCAGGGTTCTGAAGCGCTTTATCTGTGGTCTTGTTTTAGGATATAAACTTTTTGGTAGCTCTCTCTATAAATGTACTTATTTGTTTTACGATCCCAGTCTGCAACTCCTCTTTTTATAGATCTTTATAGTGCATTTATTGATTCTGTGATTCAGTTTCACTGCTCTCAGTGCATCGTTTTCAATGATAAAAGCTCTAAAAGCCAAATATGGACGACATGGTCAAAACCAAACAGCAAGTAGATGCAGGTAGTTATTAGCTGGTAAACATAGTGGAGCATCTAGTAGCTAAAGAGCTGCGTATTCACTGCTTAGATGTGTGATTCAGTAACCATTACCTACGATGTTTGTCTTACAGTATCATCTATGAGGGGGATGCTTGTTTCCACAACCCATAAATGACCAAAAAAATCAAGTTTACACAGCGTTCTATGATGCGTGTTAGTAACGTGTTATCGTTTCTGTGGTATGTACTTAAAGGGAAACGTCTCCAATTTTTATTTTCTCTTCATGTTTGTGCTGCAGATTATAAAACAGTTTTGTCAGCTGAAGAAGGATTGAAACCTGAGTTCATAAGCGAGCGCCTACATTAACAGGAGCACCACTGCCAGCAAAATGACGTTTCCCTTTAATGCTGCTTCAGTCCAGACTGTTGGTGTAACAGAAGTGGACTTGATGTTCACACAGCAGCCCAGTTTTAGAGCCAAACGTCTTTGATAGCCAACAGTTTGTTCACAGCTTTCTCACTGTTGATGTTCACCTTTCATGGTGGGTCTCCTATTCGATGTAACAGTAGCGCAAGATAGAAAACTCAGTAAATGCAGATGTATCAAGGTAACTAGGAATTAATTAGGATTAAAACAACTAAATGTGGAAGCAGCATTTACAGTCAGATAAATGCCTTGTAATACATTTAAGTCCCTGCTGTAATGTCCTCCTTTATATTTGTACACTTTTAGTGTAGACTATCTAAAAGATGGATGTAGGCTCTAGGTTTAAAAAGTGAAACCAAAACTCAAACATCTAAAACTGACAGTTTTTTATTATTTTGGTTATAAAAGAGAAAATGACCCCACTTCTCACTTCTTTTATTACCTCAGTAAACATTGTTCTAATCAGTTTATGGTCTCAATCTCTACTTTAAAGTCTCCCTCGACACAGCATGATGTTTGTTTAGTAAATTATGGCCCCATTAAGGGTAAAGCTGGACATTTATTAATCATCATTACAGTTTTGTCTGAGTGATTTTTTTCAACTTCACACACTTAAATGAACATGAGATACAGAAATATAGATATTTAAAATGTTTTGCTCATAGAAAACAGCCCAGTGTGTGATTTTAACTTGGGTAAAAGTGACATTAACCTTATTTCACTCTTTGTAGATGTATTGTTGGTCACACATCTGTTTGAAGTTGCTGCCACTGGGCACATGAGGCAATAAAAAGACATGGGTAGATTGTAGTGTCTATCAGTACACGTGGTATTTTGGTTACACTTATATTTTGCCTCTAATTTCAGGTGAAAATTCTATTAAAATCTTTATTTTGATGTAGAATGTTTGTACATTAGCCTGAATGTAGCACAACATGCAAAAGTTCAGTTTAAAATTTGTCTCTAAAATCAATTAATAGTGTGTGATTGATTAGCTAATAGTGATCTTAATACCAACCCCAAATAATTGTGCAGCTCTGCTCAGACGTATGGAAATATTCTGGCGACAGAAATTATGATACTGACTGAAAACCGGTACTGAGTCAGCAGTAATTATTGCCACTATTTGAAGCAACACACCTTATTTAATACTTTCCAATTTATTGCAGTTATCTGGTAAAAATAAATGATTTGTTTTATATTGCATAACATTTTTTTTCCAGTGTCGTGCAGCCCGAGCAAAGATTAAAATGCAAAACTCCTGACTTCAAAGCAGCCATATCCATTTGTTGTGTTAGCTTTAGCTACTTTGACTCTGTGCAGACTCTCAATGTCGTCCTAGTCTGTTTTATTTAGTAACTGGTGTAAACATGTAAGCAATATTAGTTAAGGAGGTGATTTGCTGAGTAAATATTGACACAAACATAAGATTGTTGTGCTGCGTGTTATTTCTGAAGTGTTACAGGCAACAAACTACTGCAAATACACGTATAACAGTCCAGGATTCAGTCAGGTCAGAGAAAAACAACAAACAGGAACCTCGTTAATTTTTTTTCTCCTTTTATTGTTTACAAAATACCAACATAAATACATAAAGGAGGCTGTGTGATATTGCTGTGTGTGGATGTGTGTGTTTGAAACGGAGGAGCAGGCAGGAAAAGACAGCACTGAAACAAATGCTCCACCCCTCTGTAACCAACACACAGTGGCTTTAACTAGTCAGGAACAAAACAAAAAAGTCATAAAATCAGGTCACCTTCACATAACTGCGACAGCGAAGAGTCAAGACATGTCGTACAATGAGATAAAAATCACATTAAATAAAAAGAAAACCAAAATAAAAAGATAAAATACTGCGATATAAAGCAGCTAAACCTCGATCTTGTTAAGAAGATGGTGGTGAAGAGGAGGAGGAGGAGGAGATGGACGAGTGCAGCCCTTTAGAAACCAACCGGGCAGGTGTTACGTTCCCCACAGTGACAGAGCTCGCTGCGTTTGGCTTGACGTGAAACCGAACGACAGCGACAGCTCTGGGAAATCAGCCCCGCGGGTCAAAGGGAAACACAGATGGACAGTCAGACGCGATGCTCATCAACCTGCCCATTCCTTTACATTTCCATTACTTGCCACACAACTAAAAAAAAAAACAAAGAAGATAAAGTCATGGCGACCCCTCTCCCCTCATCAGCATTTACAGAAACACCATCGTCCTCCATTCACACATGCAGTCAGACCGTGCTCCTCGTAGTGTCTCCAAAGTCAACTTGGTTACACTCTAAACGGAACCCCTGTTGTTATACTCAATAATATCTGTACACCAAGGCAATTTTTTAGAACTTTTTCTTTTTTTGCAAACTACAATCATCAGTTTCAAGAGCAAAGCAGTTTTCTTAACAACTTTTTTTTTTTTTTCCTGTTACAGTGAAGATGCTTTTAGGCTACAAGGCAGGGAGGGATTTAAAAACACCGAAGGAGGACCATGGAGGAGGGGAGGGAATGTGACGAGACACACAGCAGAGATGCGCTGATTAACACTTAGTTTTTAAAATGTCTCTGGCAAAAAAAAAAAAGAAAAAAAGAAATCCTTAAGCGTAACATCTGCAACTGCAGTAAAAACCCTCGATTTAAAAACAATCTCTCTCTCTCTCTAGTGCCCTCGTCTCCGAAAACCTTAACTCTAAGGCTGGCTTTGTTCATTATCTAATGTATATATAGATATAGATAGATATAAGTGGTGGAGCCTCACCACCTGTACGTAACATCACTACCTGAAATGTGTATATATACATTAACATAAATACAGCCTAGGAGACAGCACAACACTGAACAGAACTGTCGCCACCGTGTACGTGGCGGGATTTGACCAGAGAGGACGAAGCAACACACACTGAAAGACTCTATTGGCCTGAGTCATCGTCAGACTTCGGGGGTTTCTCTACCTAAAAACTCTGCGGTTCTGGTTCAACCCTTGTGGCTTTTTGCTACTGGGTGAGTGTGGCGGTACACAAACAGTCTATCTGTAATATTAAAGGTAAAATGACCGAAATGCCGTGTTTGGATTTTTTAGCAGTTTGTGTTTCTTTTTGTTCTTATAGTCGAGACTAAAAGGTGCGCGGCAGGGGGAGAGGAGGAGGAGGAGGAGGGGAGGCTAAAAATTACAATTGTCCAATCGCCGGGCCGGATGGAAGGAGGAGGAGGAGGAAGGCTGTTCACTGGGCGACGGCTGCAGCGGCGCCGAAGGTCTCCTGGGAGGCGTAAACCATGTAGAGGAAGCCGTCCTGGTCCCGCTCGCGCTCGTACACCTCGGAGATGGCCGCCGACACCGACACCATGCTGTGGCCGTTGACCAGCAGGAAGAAAGCCTGGTTGGAGTTCAGCTGGAGGCGCCTCCTGGTGGGGAAAAGAGGACATGACAGGGGTGAGAGGAGGTATGTCTGTAGATTCTCAGTAGATTAACGGCATCCAGACTGATTTTATTTAGTCCTAAGGGTGTCTGTATGGAGCACCACATGAGTCACTGAGAATCTTTTGATTCGCTTTCCTTTGCAACAGAATAAATATTCCTCCTGATCCATATGAACTGGAGATTGACCGATTATTGGTATATTTGAAACAGTTATAAACTACCAGCATGTCATTCATAACTTCCTCATTATTAAGGATTACTACAGCTAATTATGTACGTATATACTGCACATTAAATTCTGTATGTTACCATCATTTGATAGCAGGACCCTGTTATTCATAACTGGGCTTCTTCATTAACAAGGATTACTTTAGCTGGATTTGTACAACAGAAATAGGATCGATAGCGTCACAGAGTCATGTGATGCTATAATACTCTCCCCTTTTATTGTGAAATTGATCCATTTGTCTCCTGCAGTTCTGTCTGCTCCGTTTACTTAATTTTGTACTGATCTATCTTAATTAGTTATATTATTCCAGGCGATGTTTAAGGGTTTTCTGTGGTTACACCCTCACCTAGCCACTTGCTGTTAGCGTAGCCTTAGCCGCTGTGAAAAATGCCAATTTCCTGATTTGGTTGCAGGTCGTGTCTCTGCTAAAGAGACGTGTCTGCTAGTTAGCGAAGGTTTTTATAGTTAATCTCACCATAAAAAGATGTCATGTGTTCTCCAGATAGCGCTAGCTGCAGGCCACAGTACAGAAAACCTTGTTGTGATAGCATTAGCGTAGCATTGTCAGTAACACAAGTTTCAGCTGCACTGACATCAGACTGAATTATTCGCTAATGTGCTTGTCTGTCTACAGTTGATTGGCTGTTATTCGGGACATTTAACCAATCAGACAGCTGTGGGCGGGACATTGCTTCACACAATAGAGGGACTACATAAAGCCGAGCTAAAGTAGCATTTAATAAATTTTATGAGTAATCAGTTAAATCAAAAAAAGTGCCAAATACTGACAACCAACACTCAGTATTAACAGTTAGGGCGTTGGTTCAGTCCAGTTCTAACTCACTGCAACACTCTAAGAACTACAGGAAGGAGAGATGATGTGATACTTGATGCATTTATTGTTCATTATTCTATTTATTCTGACAATATTCAGCTGCAGCTGCTCTGTCTGGCTGTGACGCTGAACCCCTGTCTGGGTATGTGGCTATAGTTTGAACTTTGGCTGCTGCTGTAGTTCAGTCGCTGTGCTTTGGACACATCCAGCTGTGACTAGTTTAACCTGCGGTGCTTCTATGACAGATGTCATGTTTAGTTGTTCCAGTCGAGTTCAGCAGCTTGAATGCAAAGCTCAGCCAGGTTACACTACATGCTATGCAAGCTGGCACACATTCTCAGGCATATCATTTACACATTCCTGCACATTAGAAATATTTCTATCACCTTTTACGCCCTGTAGTCTCTTGATTACACTTGCTGCTAATTTACCTCCTACTTCTTACACGTGCAAGACTTTTTAAAAATCTTATTGTTATGCAAAGTCAGCGTCCTCGTGTGTGAAAACCTACTTATCAAAACAACAGTTTCTGATTAAATAAAACTCTGACTGCACCCATTTTACTGCTGCATGTTGTCAGTGATAAAGCAAACATGTCATAGCTGTAATTGTAGGTATGTCATTAAGGGCTGAACAATTAGCAGATAATGTCCTTCTTTTAAAGTCCAATATTCACTGTGTCATAGATTAAAAAGGTGTCATGCTCTCATAAGGGTGGCATGAATTAGCCAAATCACAGACAAGACGATTAAAACAATGAGTCAGATGTGTTGCGTTGTGTACATCCTAAGTTACAGCCTTTGCGATTTGCTAAATGTGCTGTTTTGAAACAGATGAATTGTTCAGCCCTGATGTCATCGTCAGGCTGCAGCCACACTGAGAGTCTCTGCAGCAGTCGCTGAGAGAGCTGCTGAACCAGCTCCCTGTTTTCTTTCATAATGCAACGATGCAGATTTGTATCTCACAAGTCGCAGCTCAAGATGACTCTCTGCAGAAACACCCAGTCATCGTGGGTAGGCTGCATCATGCTGTGTCATAATACAACTTAAACAGTTGTAACTACAGAGACTTTGTGACTGTAGACATTGTTATGATTATGACTGTGAGAAAATAGTTTCTAATGATTGTAATACTGACTAAGTGCTGGCTGAGTGTTCAAGCTTTTGTATTTCTGAATTCCTAAATGAACAACCATTTGTCACAGACACACTGCACATTCAAATAGTAATAGCTGGACAACAAACACTGAAGCACAGCAGCAGCTAAAGCCTGAAAATTAATAATAAATCCAGCTGCAGCTTCCTCATCACAACCAGCATCTGGATACTGTCTGAAATCTGCCTTTTAAAACGAATATGAGCAATATCACATCATTTCCTTTTAGTGTTTCCTTGTGCTGAGTGTTTCCTGAACTGGAGGTGTGTTATAACCGGCACATCAACTGTTCATATGGATTAGAAGGAATTTAAAACATACCATGACGTAAGGCTAAAGTAATCCTCTAAACATTCTTGCCATGACTTTTAGGAGGCTACATAATTTTTTCCTCTCATCTAGCAGTTTGGTTTTTTTTCCTGTTCTGACTGCTGGGATGGCTGTTCAGTTTAACAGATAGATTGCTTCCCTCCTCTGTCCAGAACATTGCTGTTCTCAAATGAGCGTCCCTTTATCCTTTAGATGTAGGTGGACTACTGAGTCTTGTGCTGAGGAACATCTTGTGTCGTTGTTTAGATGGATAGAGGTTTTATTGTCATTGTGCAAAATACAACAACAAAGCTTGTGTGGAACTCACAGCAATCAGCAGCAGTGCAACATGGAATACTCTTTAGAAAATATAATGAATTTAAAAAGAATGTGGCTGTAATTGTATGTACAGTAAGTAGAAAACAGTGGACTCTCCCCTATATGTAGGCATTTGCACTCCCTGCTGCATATAAAACACAGCTCAGCTCATGTTTGGGTGCTTTGTCCTCAGGGTTTCTCCCTTGGTGTTGCTGGTTGCTTGTTGCAGTGGACTACATGTACAAGGTCCACTGTGAACTTGATTTTCTCCAAACACAATTTACCAGTACACGTCATGCTTCATACAACACTGAGACAGAAACTAG